TGCTGTTGCTAATGGGACTGCTGTGCAATTAGGATCTTATTGACGGGTCCCCTTCCACTTTCAGTGAAAAGGGATGCCCTATTCCCTATTTTTTCTCTACAATTTGAAATGCACAGTAGTCCCCCCACATTCACTGGAATTAGGGGTGAATGTGGAAAAAACACAAATAAAAAAACTCACTATACTTTTTACATAAGGGAACACCTCTCTAGGAATTTCCAGGTCCTCTAGAGCAACTCTGTGGCCAACATCTGCCAGAAGCTGATCTTAGAATCATTATGGAGGATTTACAAATGCCTAGAGAAGTGTTTTCTCTAGGGACTTCTAGGTACTCCAGCCTAATTCTATGGTCAATGACTGGCAGAGTTAGTTGTGCTAGAGGACTTAGAGATTCCTAGAGAGAACATATTAATCAAATCTGCAAAAGTCAAAGCTGCAGATGTGGAGGACCAACTGTATTCGCTATTACCATGTATGCATGTGAGAGCTGCAGAGTTAAGAAAGCAGATAGGAAGAAAATCAATTCATTGGAGATGTGGTGCTAGAGAAGAGTGCTGAGGATCCCATGAACAGACAGACAAGACAAACAAGTGGGTCCTTGAACAGATCAAGCCAGAAATCTCCCTGGAAGCCAAGATGACAAAACTCAGGACATTGTACTTTGGCCACATCATGAGAAGACATGACTCACTGGGAAAAAATGATGCTAGGAAAGGTGGAGGGAAGCAGAGAGGAAGGCCACATGCTGGATGCATTGACTCTGTTAAGGAGGTCATGAATATAGGTTTTCAGGAAGTGGAGGACAGGGAGTCTTAGAGGTATCTCATCCACAGGGTTGCCATGAGCCAAGATTGACTCAAGGGTGGTTAACAACAACAAGAACAACAAACCATGCTTGGGAGACACAGCAGCTACAGGTGGACACATTGTGTGATAAGTATCACTGAGGTGTGATGACACTGTGGGCTGAAATAGAACTGGGAAAATTTATGCAATGGTGGCACTCTTGCAAAATCAGGGAATGAGAAGCAGGACTTTCTTGTTGGAAACTAGAATGAAGCCTGAAGCCTGAAGCCATAGTGCAAAAAGGATTCTGGATGCAGTTGACAATGTCTGCAGCAACACAGTTGGGGCCAAAGCAGATAGACAGAGCATCATGCCTGTACAGTGAACCCTTGATATCTCCCCATGGACACCAAAATCTGTGGATGCTCAAGTCCCATTAAATACAATGGCATCGTGAAATGGATTGTGTCCCTTATATAAAGTAGCAAAAACAAGGTTTGTTTTTGGAATTTATGTTATTAATATTTTCAAGCTGTAAATGGTTCAGTCTGTCATTTCATATATCCAAAGTATGACAGTTCAGTTTAGTCATCCTGGCCTCTAATGAGAGTTCAGGTTTGATTTGCTCCAGGACCCATTTGTTTGTCTTCGTAGTAATCCAGGGTATCTGTAGAATTCCTCTCCAGCACTAGTGTGGTGGCATCTTTCTGGCAGTCCAGGATATCTTCCAGAACTCTCTTCCAGCTCCACATTTCAGATGAGTGAATTCTCTTCCTTTTTTCACTTTCCAACTTTCACAACCATACACAGAAATGGGGAACACTGCACCAGCACTCTTTGGTAAGGCACCAGCACTCTTTGGCAGAGACGGCTAAATATCTTGTTGTTAGCTGCCTTCCAAGTCATCTCTGACTCGTGGTGATCCCATCCTCCACTGCTCTGCTTAAGTCTTGTAGATTTAGGCCCATAACCTGGGTCTAGTCTATCTGTTTGGTGTGCAGTCTCTTTTTTCTATTGTCCTCCACCTTCCCAAGCATTATTGTCTTTTCTAGTGAGTCATGTCTTTTTGTGATGTGGCCGAAGTACAACAGCTTCAGTTTAGTCATCTTGACTTCCAGGGAGAGTTCAGGCTTTATCTGCTCAAGGATCCACTTTTTTGGGGGGGAGGGGCTGTCTGTGGTATCCTCACCACTCTACAAATCCCAGGATTCCATAGACCTAAAGTGGTGTCAAACAGGGTGGATGTATCCTGAATCTTAACCTCAAAGGCAGCCCTCCCCTCCACTGAAAGCAGAGTAAAACAGCATCCAAAATCCACAAAACATTGATACTTTTATTATACCAACCAAAATGCATGAAATACATGTTTCAAGCTTTTGAAGCTCCACTGGCTTCTTCATCAGGTAAAGGTATTAAAAACCATACAGGAGGGGGAAAAATATGACAATGTTAATCCCAAGCCTGCATTTTGTCAAGATATGGCTGTTCTCAATTAAAGTGTTGTTGGAGGGAAATTCATACAGGCAAGTCCCTCCTCCTCCTGGCCTGTGGGTGCTCCAGAAAATATTTCTTAAGTTCCATTAGCAAGACAAAAAGAGATACTGAAAAGCAGTGTCCCCTTGTGTGCAAGGCGACCAGATGTCCTAACCCCAGACGAGGACAAGGCACTGCAGAATACAGGCCTGTCAAGAAAAATGTAGGACATGACTAAATAAAAACCTAAAATCCCTCAAACCAAGCTAAATCCATGCTGCTTAGTCATGCTCAAAATGGAGGGCATTTTGAAATTCCTCCCGGACAGAAGGCTGAAATGGGGACCTACTGAAACAAATGACAGTCCTTGCCCATAGAGAAACTATACTTGACCATAGGGAAACAAATGCTTCTCTATGGGCAAGTATTCTCCTTTGTATTACTATGGGCAAATATACTCCAATGTTTCCTTATAGGCAATATTCTCCAATGTTTACTGGGAAGTAATCTCTAACGTTTCTCTATGGCCAAGTATACTCCTCTGTATTCGTATGGGCAAATATTCTCCAATGTTTCCTTATGGGCAAGTGTGCGCCTGGGTTTCTCCATGGGCAAGGATGGTTTCCCTGAAACGTAGGACATGTCCGGGTAAAGGAGGACCTCTGGCCACCCTGTCCACATCAGGGGTCAAAAACGGAGGACATTTTGAAAGTCGTCCCGGACAGAAATGTAGCTCATGTCCTGGTCACCCTGCGCCTGCCTCTCTCCCTGTGAGAATCAAGTTGCTCCTCTGTATTTTGCTATCTCTGCCTCCCTCAGA